TAGTTGATTCCCCCGGATCCATGACTGAGGCTTCATCCTTCAAAAAAGCTCAAGAGACTTTGCATTACGTATCGAAGGACTTTGAAGCATGACCATGCACTTTGTTGCACTATCGTGGTTGTTTTTGATGTACGATGTTCAGCAGCATGCGTGCCCCTTAATATTGCAAACAGGAGATCGAATGGCAAGGTCTAGGCCATCTTTCTGGGCTGGCATCGTCGTTGCACAACTGTGGAACTGGTGGGAAGCATCCGCAGAACATTAAGCGGGACATGTTGCGGAAGTTGGCAGCCAAGAACCCTGATTCACCTGTGCCTTGTCTAAAACACTGTGCCCTCAAAATGTGTGAGGAAATTAGTACTGGACCCATTTTCTCAACTGACCCGACCTCTTGGATACCTGGTTAGCACTGGATGTGTATGATCCAAGTGATCATCCACATGAGAACTCAAGTACTCTTGTATTGATCAAGTTCCAAAACATAGAGAACTCACTTTGAAATACCATAGACTTTCACCATGTTTATTTTTGCAAGGATTCAAGGATTCTTGAGAAGCCACTCGTGGTTATTGCCCTCCCCCTATATATAGAAGCCCTAGGTGCCGATTGAACACGTGCTTGTACCCCTCTACGAGTTGGAGCCAGATGGCAGCTACAGCATCCAGCAAAGGCTGGTTGCAGTAGTGTGTGCAGGGGTGTGTTGTTGAGGCTCTAATTCTCTAATTGAACTGTTCAGGGCCTTGGCAATAAGTGACTACATAGATTTCAGAAGTAGTAGATCAAATGGTCCCATGCTGGGTGTGGCCAACCAGTGCGGCCTGACCAGGCCCATGCCACTCATTCTCCCGGAGAAGTTGTTTCCACGGATGATGCGTCGTGGCATCTTCCCGAATTTGGCTGAGGGAAGTGTTCAACAATACTGGACCCATCTCAAATCAATTGGGTCTCCGTTGGGTGGAATGAGTGATGATGGATGCCACATCCCTCTATATTTATGGGGTGATGGTGCACAGTACACAGAGAGTGGGCAAAGCATTATGGCCTTCACTTGCGGGATTGTCATAGATAAGAATAGGTCAAACACCTGGCCCTTGTTCCTATGCAGAGAAGACCCTTGAATATGATTAAAAATGTTTTATTATTCTTTTTTGACCATATATATTGTATTTAAGTACTATAAAATATGAATTCACCCGGTCTTGGTTTGTACCAGTACCATTAAGGAAATGAGCACCGGTTGCGACACCATCTGGGCGCTCCTCGAACCAGCCCCTCCGACGCATTATGTCCTCCATATTTATGTCCTCCATGCAGCATAGTGGTGGCCACCTAAACGTTTGCAGCGTGCAAGGAAAACTTGAGGGAAGGTTCCCGGATACCTTCTTAGAAGGTTTTTGGATCTGGAGTGACTCCATAATATTGTACTCTAACCCATCACCCTTTTAGATGGGTCATTGTCATGATTTGTACAAACATACATGCACAGGAGGAAACTGCTTCGATGTGAGGTTGTGGAGTCTCTGCAAAAGATCTATGATGGTCTGCCACTTCCGGCTTCTTCGGCTGCACGGACCCGATCGGACGTGAAGATGGTGGTCACCGAGCTGAGAGGGGATTGGAAGTATTTGGTCGCACCTTATCGCAAATGGTTTGAAACATTTTGCGCATTTTGTACCAAAGTCTGATGAGTATATAGATGCGCTTTGTTCTGGAATTCCATATTTAGAATCCCTGTTCTATAGATCATCGTTGATCAAATTTTGTCGTCTTAAGGAAATATTGCATCTGAACCGATGGTACAGATGCAATTTTATTTGTCATCGTTGCTATGCCCACAAAGATACATTTATGGTCAGCCCTGCACGACTGCTAGACAAGCAGCGATGCTCTGCAGAAGAGTTCTTTCGGGTCAGTGTCAAACCTGGAAAGCAATGTAACTGTGCCTTTAATTTATGTGATTTGTTTTTGTGCACTTTCCAAACCACCAAAAGGCTAGATCTCTCAAACTGGTGTTGATACCACTCCGAACACCGATATTTTCATGGCCGTTCAAGGTCCACTGTTCTCGCTCCCATATTGGATCCCACAATGCATCAGATTCGACTCCATGCATGTTCTTTGTCTTGGAGTTGACTTGTTGGTGGCTGGGAACGTCATGACCCAGTTGGTTGGCTGTGAAGGCCTCTGGGAAGGTCATGACACTGATGCTAAGCTCCTATGTGCCTGGCAGCGGTTCAAGACATGGGCCAAGCAGAACAAATGGCAGCTGCCTGTTGGCACTTCTACCCTGATTTTGGTCGTAGGTCCCTTTCTGAGGATATTGGTACCACTAAAATATATAAATTTAGGTTGTACGTGTAATTCGCTATAGGGCTTTGTGGTGCTCCTTGACGTCCCACAAGACATGTGTGAAACAATGAGTCTGTTTCCAGAACCTTCCTATTCAGGGCTCATGGTGGGTTGTGTGGTTACTTGCCCTAGTCCATGGTAGGAGAGCAACTGAGGCATAGTGTACCCAAATTCTGTCAGCGCAAACTTCGCTCGAATCAACACCCGTATCCAGAGCTGCAAAGCAAAGCGTGGAACGAAGCTTGGTTTGTTGAGTGGGTATAAAATCCTGCCCAGGCAGGCCTTGCAAATTCCAGAAAAGATTTTCG